CTAAGGAAGGAGTTTTCCATCAGAATTTATTTGAGCAGTCATTATGCGGAGAACAACCAAAAGAATTTCAGAACATTAGAGAATTACACGGCACAGCATTTATATATGAATATCTACTTATCATCAAGTATGATTTGATCCTTGATAAGACCGTAAACATGGATATCCCGGACGTAATTTAAAGAGTCAAGTCAACCTCTTCTTTTGTTGATTTCTAAGATAGATTAGACTCGACTTTTTCAATAATAGCATTAAAGGCTATTCTTTTTTTGAAATAAGGAAGAATAATCGATTTGAAAGAAGCGTAATTTAGATCAAAAAAATCCTATATGAAAAAAATGATTCTAGATGGTTCTACCGGTTGATGTGCTTAAGCAAAATTATTCTGAGCAACACTTACCTCAGAAGCAAATGCTAGCCTTTTCATTTCACCACAAGATAAGCCTTTCGCAGAGTTTGGGATACCGATGATTGTGTCCGCGCAGTTGGTTAGACCCATCTGTAAGAAAAATTCTTTAATTTACGATTGTTCTACTTTAATAATGCTTTTCTGAATGTTTAACAGTGCTAAGTTTTTGAAATTTTTTCAACACAAGCTTTCCTGAAAATTTTACTAAAATTTTCAAATATATTTTAAGAACCGTTCTTATAATATCCTCCACTCGCAGATTCTGTTCCATGGTTGTATAGTTTGACCCCATTCGTAAGCGGGCCTGAAACCAAATTAGCCTTATTTTTTTTTTGTAAGGTAGAGAAAACTTGTTCAAGCTGCTTACCATAAATAGCAGATGCTCTCTAGCTGTCATTGTGCCGATGAACATATCATTTTGTTGAACAAATGCAGAGATCTGGAAGAGAAATAAATTTATTTTCGACTTGCAGCTGATATCTCGACAGAACTCACCTCTTTGAACTTCCACCTACTGATGCTCCGTCCATCTACAGTAACTTTACCATCTACGTCCAAACCAGTTAGATTTCTCGATGTTAACACGTTTAGAAGTGTTGTTTTTCCGGCACCACTGACATAATACTTTTAAGAAAATACTTTAAGACTAATATAAATTTAATAGTTAAGAAAGTACAACGCACCTACTTCCCATAATTGCTAATAACCTCCCGGCTTTTGCTATACCGCTAACTAAAATATTAGCGTTTCACATAAAGAATTCTATACTTTTGAAAGTTAGAGCATTTTGCAGTAACCTTAGCAAACAGGTAAAGCATTTTTTCAATTTTTCTGATTTTCGACCATTGGCTTACCATAACAGGATCAGTAGGAATAGGCTAATTGCCCTACCTTTGTTTAAAATTTTTATTCGCTTCCTCGGTCGACGACATAGGTGTCTTTCCCAGAAGGAGGCTGATTTCTGATCTAGACCATAAACATTCAGAGATGACCAATAGAGATTGCAGCTGAAGGAGATTATGAAAGGCTGTGGACAAAAAAAAAGTTTTCAAAAGTTTTGTTTTCTTGTTTGATAAACAATCTTAACAGAGAAATTCTGTAATTGTTATGTGGCAATGAAATATATCGTAGTTTTCATAATGAGCGAACTCCCACTCCACTGATTTTGAAAGAACAATTTTTTGAAAGCATCAACATCATATCAACGGTCAATCTCATACCAACAAATTTACGGCAATCGAAGAGAGCTCACATTCTTTGGAAAAAAGGTATAATTTTTTAGTTAATAGCCAGAATTTCTCAAATCGAATCTTTAAGGGTAAAATCTTAACACACTTTCACATATTGAATACTCTCATTTAGAAGCTTTTTTTCTTTTTTTGAGAAGACA